GTCACAAAGGCTGGAAACTTACGATATTTCGCGACTGGTAGCCGTACTAGTAGATACGAGGAAATGGGTTGCCATATGAGTTGCGCAACGTAGACGATACTTCCTAGCCAACTATATTGCTGTCCAACTAGGTCTGTAGTGTTAGCGCGTGTAAGTGCATGCAGCTGTTTGTTAATGGGAATACTAGGCTTACGCGTTTCCTGTACGATATTAAAGACCGAAGTGTACGATAGAGAAGATCTGTATAATGGCTCAGTATACTATAGAAAAGAGAAGGGCTAAGACCTACTTGTCCAGCTGTTGCAGGAAGTACACCATGACGATGACAGGCATGAGCCATAAATCGATCTTTCTCAACACTCGTGTGTCCTCCTCCACAGTAAATTCCATAGGAATTGTAGCGTCATCCAGGATCTTGTGCGCTTCGTCTCGCCTTCCATCTTCTTGAGGAGGCGGGGAGAGTACATTCTCCCGCAATACAATATCTATATCCTTCTCCGATAAACTGGGCGATGTTGGTCCTGGAGGAGTGGGCTGCATAATGGCAGTGATCTCTTGTCGCGCCCGAGACGAGAAAGATGCATTTATCTATCGTGCGTAAGTTCCAGGGACCTTGTTTAATCCGTATAATGATGATGAGATAGTCCTGTGGCCGTACGGAAAATAGAAGTCAAAGGATGAACGTTAGGGCCGAAAGTCAGGAGCGCACTAGTAACGCAGCCACATACATAACACTCTTATCTTCGTGCGAACATGATGCCAGATGTTCCTCCGCTGTATGCACTTCGTTGGCTTTGAGCACAGCGCAATATCAGAGCGTGGGTCCTTTGCTTGGAAGACGCTGGAATAATGGTCAGCTGGTAACTTAGGAGCCGATAGCAAGGTGTTGTGACATACCGTATGCTACTATGAATTCGATTCTCTCACAAGCTCCAGGCATGGGTCCAACTGTAACGGCACCATCACAGCGTGTTCAGAAAGGCGGATATGACGGATGAAGACTGGAGCACCAGGTCTACGGAGCGGTCCGGATGCCTCACTAAGATCATCCTTAGCCCAAAGCCATATAGCAGGGCAGGAAGCGTGAGCACTGGCGAAGCAACTCTCTACATCCATGTCTTCGATTTCTAAGCCCCTTGGTGGACGTGTTGGTATTGTAGGCACAGGGAGTCGCGCGGCGATGTTCGTGCGGGGCATCGTGGCGCGGCCGAACAGCAAGGTCGTAGCTATCTGCGAGCCGAATTCTGTCCGCGCCGCATACTACAACAACCTTCTGCAAGAGCTAGGCGCGAGCACCGTTCCCGTCTATCAGCCGGAGGCTTTTGAAACGATGCTTAAAGATGAGAAGGTGGAGACGATTGTTGTTACGTGCGTCGATGCCTTGCATGATCTGTACATTGTACCGGCTCTGAAGGCGGGAGGTAAGCATGAACAGGAGTTAGGCCATCAATGCTTAGACTCACTGTCGTGTAGTGCGAGTGCTCACCGAGAAACCTATGACGACTGACGTGGAGAAATGCCGACGTATTCTGGAAACGGTGAACCTCACGGGAAACCACATTACGGTGACTTTCAACTATAGGTGTGTTGACGAATGAAACGACCGCGGCTGCTGCTGAGCTCTGTGCAGATATAATCCTGTGCATGAACTTGTGAAACGGGCCATCGCTGAAGGGAAAATTGGAAATGGTAAGTCGCATCCATAGCCTGACAAGTAACGGGACGTACTGATTAATGCACCAGTCCTCTCGGTACACTTCGAGTGGCTTTTGGACACTGTTCACGGAGCAGGTCAGTCCTGTTGAATTTTACAAGCAATTTACTCACAGACCAACTACCAGACTACTTCCGACGCTGGCATCGCCAAAAGTCCAATTCCGGAGGGCTCATGGTGCATAAGTCAGGACATCACTTCGACCTTGTCAACTGGTGGCTCGACGCGGAACCTGACACCGTCGCGGGCATCGGAAAGCTTGCATTTTACGGGGATGATAACGGCAAGCGGCATGGCTGGGGACGTAAGTACGAGCGCGCACGGAACTCCGAGGCCGCTAGAGGAGATCCTTTCGCCATCGATCTTGAGGGTGACGAAACGTTGAAAGGCATCTATGCCGACGCTGAGAAGGAGGACGGATACTATCGTGACCAGAACGTGAGTATGACTGGCATTATTAACGGGACTGTCGTGAGAAAGGCCTCCGTAGAGCATCAGGTTGTCTCACCTTATCGGTTACAGGTATTCGCCCCGGGAATAGGTATTGAGGACGACATGGCTCTCCTCGTCCGGTACAATACCGGTGCAACGATGACCTATCATCTGGTGAGTAAACGAAGTCAAGGAGTGGCGATCAGAGACCTTAGAACTGAAATTGGACTCAGACCGCTTATTCTCCGTGGGAGGTGAGCTATTCGCATCGACGGTCCCGTCAGGAGCTCACACAATCCAGGGGTACAGAGTCATGTTCAATGGAGATCAAGGAAGACTAGAGCTAGACGTGGTTGAGTCACGGTACCGGGAAGTGAGCGACCCACAGCTCACCGGAGGTCAAATCCATGGGAATGCGCCCCCGCCAAATCCAGGCGAAGCCACAGTGAAGTTGCAGAGGCTGTGGCAGAAGCCCGAGTTGCTACCCATCACGATGGAACACGGCTCCCACGGAGGTGGGGATCGACGCATGTTGAGCGTTTTGTTTGGGCCCCTTCCAGGCGAAGATGTTGATACGGGAGACGCGTCAAAGCAAAGCGCAAGCGAACGGGACGGTGCAATGGCACTTGCAGTCGGATTGTTGGCAAACGAGAGTTTCAAAGACGGCCAGTTCCATACTATACAGGAGTTATCATTCCCTTTGTAGCAGCCGCCGTAAGCCCAAGAAATGAACGAACATAAACGTGCCGTGCGATCGATGGGGAGCAAGGTTTGGAGAGGTTAAGAGTAGTCAGGCGAATTTACGTTAATACGGCGAGAGTCCTGTAGACAAGTGACCTATCTATAGTGCTTCCAAGCAACCGTGAGTACTAAATCCAATAGTTTCCCATAGATGAGATGATGTAGGTCTAAAATTTCCAAGAAAGCGATTCAGTCTTTTCTGACCGGCGTCGACGAAGTCGTGAGGCAACCAAGTCATGTCAGAGACAGTTTCGCCTCTCTGCGCAGCAATCTGTAGCAGTTGTTGAATGTCACGCACATCGACGTACTGTTTCTGCTGCATATCCGATCTGCCGGAGAGGCGATGATCCTCCCAGCCTTGGAGCTTCAGCAGAAGCAGTGCGATCAGTGGCATGACTGGAAGGTCTTCCAAGCTGACGATGTGCTGTGTGGGTACGAAGGGTATATTGAGGATACCTGGCACCAGCACGTCGACTTTGCAAGATCGCTTTCTGTGTCCACGAGGTGCGAGTTTGGCGAAAAGCACTTTATAGGTGGCTCCGGGTGTTTGGGCCGGCCGAAGATAGAACGACGTACTCGCCTGCTTGACGAGTAACTCTTTGAGTGCCTCTGTGCTGAGTTGATAAGTGATAACGACTATGTCGACGTCCTAAGATAAGCAAGTTTAGCGTGACAGCAGTACGAAGAGGACTCATGTTTCGTACGTTGGGTATCCTACTGTTGCCGTACAGCGCACATCCTGCACTACCAAACAAACAGCACTCCAACCCGGAGTCAATAAAGACCTTCACTGCTTTCCGCGCGACATCACGAATTTCTCGACTGTTTGGAGCATATTCCATGGCGAAAGATGCGCGTGGTGAAGTTATACTGGAGATTCTTGCGGTGAGTGGTGAGAGTTGTAACAGGTAAGAGTCGGGAGTTGATATCAGTGTGACATGGTATCAGGAGGTTGAATAACTAAACAAGAAGGGCAGTTTCCGTCAGTGCGGATGATGATGCATATGGTCCACTATCAAAGGCAGTCGGACAGTCGTCGATGCGAGCACAAGCAAGCGCTTATTACCCTCGGATCCGTCTCGGACTAAAAGCCTTTGTGCTTCATTTACTCACTCAAGGGATGCGGTGTGACATTCCATCGCTGAGGTCAAATCGTTGAACAGAATCCAGCCCTAAATATACTAAGGCTCCAACCATTTAGTTTATTTACTGTTTATAAACAGTAAAAACCATTTACACTTTATGTTTATTTACTCTTTCTGCGTAAAAGTGTGTAAACAGTTTATTAAACAGTAAATAAATGGTTGTGTAAGAGAAAGCCTAAGGACATTCCCGGGACGTGGAAGGTCATAATCCAGGTAAGAACGCTATAGTTACCCTCGTAGTCCCTTACGAACGTCCCAACCGATGCGCCGCTGGAGGCTTTCATCGGCGCTAACTTCGCTGTCGAGCAGCCTCGGTCCGGCGTTCCGTGGTTCATACGTTCGTGTTTTCGTCTCCCGTCGCGACCTTTGTCAACACCGGACTCTTTGCGTCACCATGTAGCTGAATGACACATCCGTGAAGGTAGATGTACCAGGTAACTATTTTACTGGATAGCGCGGGCTGAAGCAGTCGCGCAAGTCGAGTACGCGACCTCAGTTGCAGATGAACCTGAAGCGAAGTTTCCCAGGAGGACCCGACACCCTCTATGGATCTTAGCGTACAGTATCCGCAGAGCCGTTCTATATTTTTGCGGAATGCACATTTTGAGGAGTATAAGACAACGCTGCACAAGCCGCTTTTGTGTGCATTCGAGACTTCCACGGCGGGGACCTCTAGCCTGAGTGAAGCGATTGGTCAGGCCATCTCTTATCATGTCGCGATGGCTATAAGGCCCATTCAAGTGATACACCCCATTTGTTACGCCTCGTAGCCTCTGTATATGCAGTGTCAGAGGGCAGACGGAGATATGTGGCTTTGTTCTTTTATTTACTCTTTATAAACTCTTTATAAACTGTATACAACCCTTTACAGTTTATTTACACATTTCGAGTAAACGTAAAGTAAATGGTTGGAGCCTTAAAATATACCGTATGCTTGCCTTTCAGATCATCCGACGCAAGAAAAAAGATGAACCCGACCCGAGTTGAACGGATGACCTTGAGGAACCAGGTTACACTGGAATCTCACGCGCTGACCACTGTGCCACGGGTTCATAGTTCAACTTCTTTTCCTCAAAAGTTATAACCCGCAACTAACAACAGGTCATATTTTTCCGGCCTTGAACCGTAGTCCGGACCCCTTGCCGGCCCCTCATCTGATTTTGGCCATGGACATTCACTTTCGTCGATTCACAAGTCGTATCTTTCCTGTCATCGTAACGCGACGATGCATGTCAATGGATTGATTCGTCGCGCAAGAGTACTGCGCTGAGAAAGCCAGGGCCACTGTCGGAACGACAGATCCGTCCGATGTTGACTGCAACAGTACACTAGCGGTCTAGATGGACTCCTGTGCTTTGGACCATCACACTTTACAGGAGACTGTGTCCCTGGGGCCGACTCAATTGGTACGTGCGCGTCACACCGAGCTCAGTGGTAACTGACTGCGGCATGAGCTACGGCTCCGCTTTGCCACATAGGGCGGCCTCAACGTGATCGTATTTGCCATATTCTTAGTGCGAGGGAAGGAACGCTGTCTCGTATCTCACAGCGTATATGGCGTGCGATGCAAGCACCAAATGGAGGCTCTTTGGTGCGTAACGGGCAGCGAGGGCGTGTCCATCCGCTGGAATCTTCACACACACGACATCAAACTGGGACCAACGCTACGGCATCGCTGCCTTCACGTGCCGCTTGCGCTGCAATGCAGGCATGATGGCATATCCACTGCCCCGTATAAGACAGGCCGGTCGCGGAAGCTCGGAACTTAGGGTGCATCGCTGCGCCTATCCTGCTCTCGCCGTCCTCCGTGCAACATGATATCGAAAACGAGCGACTCGGACCGTCCGAGTATAGACGAGAAGAAACAGGCGGATCCCGAAGCTGTACTCGAGACCGTATCTGCATCGGCTTCGACGACGTCGCATGAGATCGACTTTGGGGGCGACAGCCAGCTACCCCCTCCTCCAAAGCTCACTCCGGAGCAGGAGAAGAGACTGTATCGGAAGGTCGATCTATGGCTCATGCCAATCCTGACGTTGATGTACCTGGCATCATTTTTGGACAGAGGTAAGTTTCTTTAATGCACCTTTGAGGCCAATCAGCTGATAGCCATCTCTAGGCAACATCGGTAGGTTCTGCGAGTTTTTGAGAGAATCTCTTGCTCACGCGTTTTAGGCAATGCAAAACTACAAGGCCTGACGACACAGTTAAACCTTACCGGCAACAAGTACAATATCGCTTTGGTACGTATCCTACCATCGACCCTCAGCTACGTACTGATCCTGCAACTATTCAGACAATGTACTTTGTTGTAAGTCATACTTATTCGTCCAGCCCTGGCCCTGATTTAGATTCGGTCTCTTGATATAGCCATACTGCATATTTGAGTGCCCAGCGAAGTACATCGTTTGTCTCTCCTGTGCTCTTAGCGCTGACGGGCATGGTACAGTTTGGTTCTGAAGAAGTTCAGGCCGTCTAGGTACGCCATCTCGCCCATTTGACTGAATCTCAGTAACAAGACTCCCTTCAGATGGCTTCCTGGTATCACTGTGCGTAGATGCTGTTCCTGAATACTTCGAGGTACTGATACGAGTCAACCAGATTGTGTGGGGCATCATCGTGTAGGGCAACTTCTCAGAAATGTACCGCACATTAACACTAACGCTTGTTCAGGACACTTATGGGCCTCGATAGAACGTAAGTAAAGCAACGTGTTGTCATCAAGAAACAAATCAGATTATCATTTGCTTATTGCCTCAAGATATGCAAACCTCGTCGGCACACGTATAGCTCTTGGAATAGCAGAAGCAGGCCTATTCCCTGGTGTAGTATATTAGTACGTATCTGCGATTGCGACCGATGGATATCCGTGTACTCATAGAACTATAGCTTGTCCATTTGGTATCCTCGACACATGTTGCAGTGGCGCATCGGCATTTTCTACGGCGGTGCTACCATAGCGGGTATGTAGGGCTCAAGTCTGTCTTAAAGCAGCGCGTAAATCCTGATAATGCCGACCATAGGTGCTTTTTCTGGACTCCTTGCATTCGGCATATCCTTCATGGCGGGAACCGATGGCATGCTCGGCTGGTCTTGGATCTTCGCAAGTTTCATTCCTTCGGTCACAAATTCGCATCTAATTGGAGCATAGATTATCGAAGGCATTGCTACCGTATGTGTCGGCATTCTAGCCTTCTTTAGTAGGTGCTCTGCCATTTATAATGCCACACAAGACACTGAGCCACGTCATCTAGTCTTGGTCGACTTCCCCAACACGGCTCGATTCCTCACTCCAGAGGAACGCTCGTACATTATTTGGAAGAAGAGTATGTGGTCAATTACTCTTATCGCTAATTCGACAACTCATGTAATGGGTAGGATACGATAACTCCTCCGTTGGTGAGACGGAGACCTTCGCGGTCCGCCATGTATGGGCTGCTTTCAAGGATTGGCAAGTGAGTGGTTTGATGACAATTGTTCGTTTTTTCTAGAACTGACTCGCAATAGGTCTGGCTGCATATCCTCATCTACATGTCTATCATTGGACCCCGTATGTTCCCAATTGATTACTTCGTCAGACGGCGGCAACTGACATGGACTCAGTGTATGGGATCTCACTCTTCTTGCCGTGAGTGCTCATATTTCCTCTTCGATCTCCAACTGACACTCAGCTATACTGATAGTTCGATTATCAATGGGTAAGTTATTCGACCGCTCCAGCTAATTGCGACTGCTAATACCAGCTGAAGATTCGGCTTCAATACCGCCATCAGCCAGCTACTAACCGTCCCGCCATACTTCGTCGCCAGTGAGTTCCATGTGATCCACAGCAGCGATGACACAGCATACTCAACGTCTCTTTGCGCACAGCTCTTATACTCTTACTGTTCGCAGTATGGTCAGATCGCATCAAAATGCGGTACCCATTCATTCTCGCAGGCTTGTTCTTGTGCCTCATCGGATTCTCGATCAACATATCGAAGGCTAGTGTCGGTGCAAAATACCTAGGGACGTTCTTCTGCGTGTCAGGATCCTACGCTGCGTTCCCTGGTATCGTATCATGGTAAGCATCCTAGTGACAATACACGTTAGCGGAGAGATGAAATTTCCGCATCGCATAGGCTGGGAAATAACCTCTCAGGACAATACAAACGTGGCGTCGGCATGGCGCTTCACATCGGGATTGGCAATTTCGCAGGCGGTAAGTCACCCTACATTTACTACTGCAGTAACTTATATCGATTATTGAACAGCTATCGCATCCAACATCTATCGCACCCAGGACGCACCACGTTACATCCTTGGCCGTGCGTTTAATTCACTGTGTCTTCTCCCTGATATCGGCTGACTAGTTATATCGAAGACGGTCTCGAGCTCATGTTCGTTGGGATCGGCTTTGTCACATTGCCTATGGCTGTGTTCCTTTACATACGAATCAATGCGAGCAGGGATCGTCTAGTGCGGGAGATGAAGGAGAAGGGTATCAAATTATCGGCAGAGGAGATCAGAGAGCTGGGCGATCGTGCGCCCGACTTCAGATACACGCTTTGAAACCCTTGCACGAATGTGACGTACAGCGCCTGTACTTATACGTTTCGATCTCACTGCGTTTTCAAACGTCAGATTTGAACTAGCCAAGTATCAAATGGGAATGCTATTGTGTGATATGTCAAGGTATATTCCATGATAAATGCGTAAGATCCTAGCACAACTCATAACATGAGAGTCAAGAGATAAGCAAGCAAAGCGAGGACAACAACGCTCGCCGAAACGATGTGGCCACCGAAGTCGGTCCACACATCATTCACAGGTAATACTGCGCGAAGCCGTGGCGCAAGCGAGACGTTGATGCTGTAGACCTTACCCGGCGTCATGTCATCGACGGTGATATACAGCGTCTGTCTGGCCGCGACGTAGCGATAGCTGTCCGACGCCCCAAGGCCCCGGACGACTACTTTGCTTCCATCAGCCAGGAACCAAGGGACGTAGATCTCGGTAACGTTAGACGACAGCTGTGGATGGTTCGTCCGGGGCGGGTTCCAGACAGAGGGTTGCGAGATCGATTGATCCGGACCGTCCGCTTTGGTCTCAGGAACAGCCCATTCGAAGGTGAGCTCGCCCGTGTTGACCTCGTACTCAAAGCGCAACGGCACGCCTGCCGTCTTCGCTGGATACGGCCGTACGACCGAGCGCAGTATACGGCCACCGACGTCCAGCGTCGCTGCACTCTGGTCGTAGTCGAGAAGCGAGGGGATGACTGCGCGCCGACGGCTGAACCAAGAGAAGTTCTCTCCATTCCAGTCGTCGCCGCGCTCATCATCGTTGTCTGGATTGTAATTCCATAAGCTATGGATTTTACGGATTGTGAGGTCAAGCACTGAAAGATAAGAGCGCCGACGTACGTGAAGCCCAGCATGGCCTGCTCGAGGCCTGTAAGCATTGCGTCCATCATGCGCATTTGCCAATGCCACCTGTCAGTTTCAAACGCTTCGCCTTTGCTACACAAGATGGTAAGTAATTCTGCCATCTACGACGTCCTAGGTAGTCGTACTCACTTCATGTCCATGGGTATACCACACTCTCCGATCACAACTGGGATCTCGCCAAGCGCACTGTATGCCTTCTCCGCAATATTTCGGATTTGGAGACTGAAATTGTTTCTGGCTCCCTTATGACCCCAGTAGAAAGCCCTGAGTGGGAACATACCCTAAAGAAGGCGCGAAATCACTACGAGAGACCAGCCGAAAACAGTGCCGACACGTACGCGAGATAGTCCCTGAACGTTCACAGAGAAGTCGCTGAACGCTTTGTTGAAGAGCGCGTTAAGATCATACCTACAGACGGTTGTTAATTTATGACCATTCCGTGTCTCTATGGCATTACCAATGAGGTGCATAAACCATCTCCTTTGGTCTACGCTCTGGAGTCCAAGAAGTGGGGCAAAACTATATTGGGAGGGAGGTTAGCGCGAAAGGAGGTCATGAAACCGTGAACACACCTCGTTGGGTATAGGTTCTACAAATATGAGTTTATCCGCAGCAGACACTGCTCT